CATAAAAAAAGGGAGATTGTTGTCTCCATTAGTTTTTGATGATAATAAAATATTTCTATTTATTTGTGTCTAACTTTTCTACTTGAGTGTGCAAGACAAAAATGAATGTTAAACAATAAATTAATTATTCAAAATTAAATATTAAAACTTATAAGAATAAGGAGCTACAATTAAGCAATAAAATAGAAGCTTCTTAGTTGGATAATCAAGGGAGTTAGTAGGATAAAATTCAAAAGTGAAATTGATAGGTTCAAGTAGATTGTAAGACAAAGAACATTTAGTCGACCAAGAGATATTGTTAGTTAACTAAGAGTTTATTGCCAGAAGTTGGGATTAAAAGACACAAACAACTTAATCAACTAAGAAGCATATTAGTCAATTGAGAGCATTCTATCTGAAAATTTGAATTTCAATGCTAGAATATAGATTAACGGCTAGAAATGTCTCTAAATAGTTTCCAACAGTTTGAATCTATCTAACACCCATGAAAGTTGATTTTCCAAGTATATAAGGCACTCCTAACGGCTATGAATTAGTTTTGAAGCCTTCTAAGATCAAAAAGAGCTCAAAAATAGCAAAAGCTCTCTCCATACTTTCTGCACTTCGCTCTAATCCTTGTAATAGAATTAAGCACTTCACTTTGTACCATTCAGATTAGGTTAGTAATCATTGGTGCTTCTTTATTTCTATTCTTCTTGATTACTTAGAGTGTGAGACTCACTCTAAGAGAATTGTGCTAAGAATGGCATGATTATAGCATCAATGTAGCGGAATAACAAAAATTGAAATAAAAGAAAAACATACCTCCTATCTTTGGATCACCTTGGTTGTTTAATGCAAAGTTAAGTACCATTAAAATAAAAAAAAAAATTTACCTTTCCAAGTGATATCGTAATCAAATGGACTCTTTTTGGTGACAAAACGTGAACATCTTTTGTGTGAAAGAATCTCAGCCACTCAATCGCTTGGCCTCCAATGATGCACACACGATTGTAATGGATCTTTCCCAAAGAGAGAGCTTTATGTCATGGGCTTGTGCTAGCAAGTGGACAACGATTTGTCCTCTTTTCTTTTTTGATTTCCAGCAAATGATCAAACGAGAAGTTCTCAAAATAAAATTGAACTTCTCAAGAGTGGCGGCACTCAAGAGAGAAAAAGAAATTTTTTTTATTTTGTTTTTTTTTCCTTCCCCACCTTCAAAAAGAAAGAGGGATATAATGTAATATTTATACTAGTTTAACTTATCAAAATTCAAAATAAGTCCTTAATATTATAACAATTATAATATTTAACCAATACCTAATTAAACTCTTTTAATTAGGTCCTTAGCAGTTAAATCGAAGAATTCGATTTAAGTATAACTTAAATCCTCACACTCTCAATTTAATCCAAATTGCAACCTATGTGTGTGACCCATTAGGTTTCTAACATGTTGGCAATGGAATTGAATTATAATATTATTAATTAATTACTTTAAGTGAATCATATTCAATTCTAAACTAACTAATCCAATTCCATAGACCATTATTGGCATCTAGTAGCACCTACTCTTATTGACCTCCATATTTATTCCTGTAGTTAGATCATTAGCTTTATGGAGACTTATGAAGGTCATTTCCTAATCTCTAATCACCTTGGCCAACGATTTGATTAAGGTAATTTCAACCAAGAACTAAAGAGATATTTCACCTTGAATCACTTAGGGTGATGATCCCTATCTTGACAACTCATTCGCCTTCATATGCTTCATACTATACCAAAAAACATCTTGTTTTGGCATCCTTGGTTAGGCACCCATAAGGATGAGATCAAAACATAGTACTCCACATACAAAACAACCTAGTGTCTCAAGTCTAAGGAGTAGTTACACAACTGACACATGAGAAGTATTGCATAGAGAATTGAGTGAGGTACCATATGCACTTCTCATGGAAGGTCATGTTTGGTGAACTCATTCTCCTGTTGCAAGCACCCACAAGCTAGTTTCAAGTATCTCTATACTTCAACCTTTGAAAACAATTGCTTACTTCACAAGTAAGGAACATTACATATGCCAATCTTTGAGCATTATTGATGGCCTATCTCAATAATACAATGATTAGGAACTTTTAAGAACAATGCTTTAATGCAAAAGGATCTCATAATTGTATCCCAATACAATTCCTTTACAAGGCATATATAGTTCCATGGGCTTTATCTACATCAGTACAAAAAGTAATTGAATCACAAACTTATGGATAAAGAACTACATTAATGTTATTATGAATAACAAAATGTTATACATGAATATCTCAAAATTGCAATTCCTATACAACCACAGATTGGCTTGTAGGGCTTATACTAACAATATCCCCCTAGCACTAAAGCCAATCGCTTATATATTTAATACCAATGTTCTCAACATAACGATTATGCTTCCGCTAGGATGGTGCTTTAGTGAGAGGATCAGCAATATTATCCTCAGTGGATATACGCTCTATGCAAATGTCTTTTCTTCCAATGATCTCCTTGATTACATGGTAATGTCACAACACATGTTTGGATTTTTTATGAGACCTTGGTTCCTTTGCTTCTGCAATGGATCCATTGTTATCACAATACAAAGGTATTGGACCAACAATGCTAGGAACCACATCTAGTTCAGTAATGAACTTCTTAATCCAAACTGTCTCTTTTGTTGCCTCAGACATAGAGATGTATTAGGCCTTTTTTGTAAAATATATAGTCGTCTTTTATTTGGAACTCTTCAAACTCACTGTATCTCCATTGAGTGTGAACACATATCCACTATGCGACTTGCTACCATCATTGTCAGTTTGAAAGCTTGCATCTGTATAACCCCTAACTTGGAGTTCACCTCCTCCATAAACCAGAAATACATCCTTAGTTCTTCGTAAGTACTTTAGGATGTTTTTCACAGCTATCCATTGACTTTCACTAGGATTAGCTTGGTATCTACTTGTGACACTTAGAGGATAAGATACATCTGGTCTAGTGCAAAGCATCGCATACATGATGGATCCTATTGCTGAAGCATATGGGATCTTATCCATGTGATTTATCTCTTTTTTATTCTTTAGACACATGTTCTTGAAGAGATAGATGCCTTGCGACATAGGCAAGTGTCCTTTCTTAGATTCCATCATGCTAAACCTTGTTAGCACCTTGTCTATGTATGTGGATTCGAAAAGACCTAACAACCGTTTAGATTTATCTCTATAGATCTTTATTCCTAGAATGTAAGTTGCTTCTCCCAAATCTTTCATGGAGAATTGTTTGGACAACCAAATATTTGTAGATTGCAGCAGCAGTATATCATTTCCTATGAGTAATATGTCATCAACATATAAGCACTAGAAAATTATGGCACTCTCACTAACCCTTTTTAGACACATGGTTCATTTCCATTTTTGATGAAGTCAAAAACCCCCTTTTTTTATAGCTTCATTAAAACAGATGTTCCAACTCCGAGAAGCTTACTTAAGTCCATAAATGGACTTTTGAAGCTTGCACACCTTATTAGCATTAGTATTGGATATAAAGCCTTCAAGTTGTGTCATGTACACTTCTTCTTATAAGTTTTCATTAAGGAATGCAGTTTTAACATCCATTTGCTATATTTCATAATCATGGTATGTAGCAATTGCAAACAAAATCCTAATGGATAGCATAGTAATTGGTGAAAAGGTTTCTTCAAAGTCAATACCTTGTCTTTGTTTGTAGCCTTTTTCTACTAGTCTAGTTTAAAAGGTTTGCACCTTGCCATCTACATCGGTCTTTGTCTTAAAGACCACCCATTTGTACCCAATGGGTTTTATCCCTTCAGGTGGATTCACTAAAGTCCATACTTGGTTGGTATCCATGGCATCCATTTCAAATTTCATGGTTTCTAGGCATTTCTCAGAATCGATGTCCAACATCGCCTCTTCATAGGTTGTAGGCTCATCATTTATGGGTAATGCATCCCTTTCCAAGAGAAATCCATATTTCTTTGGAGCCTGATATATTCTACTAGACCTTTTGAGTGGTTGTGCCTCTTGATATTGTGGTTGTACATCAGATGTCACAATTTTAAGCTCAAGTTCCAATGGAATGTCAATTTATGGACCTTGAACTTCTTCGAGTATAACTTTACTTCCACTAGCCCTTTCATTTAAGAACTATTTCTCAAGGAAAGTGGTATGCCTTGAGACAAACACCTTTTGCTAAATAAGATTATAGAAATAATATCTGTGTGTTTCTTTAGGATATCCCATAAATTTACCTTTGTCTAATCTTGCTTCTAGCTTACTTGACATTGTACGCTTCACATAAGTAGTACAACCCCAAATCCTAGCATAAGACAAATTGAGCCTTTTCTCACTCCATATCTCATATGGTGTCTTATTAACTAATTTGGTAGGAACCTGGTTCAATATGCGAGCAGCAGTTTCTAGGGCGTATCCTTAAAAAGATATAAGAAGATCTACATGACTCATCTTGGATCGAATCATGTCCAATAATTTTCTATTCCTTTTCTCAAACACCCCATTGTGCTTTGGAGTCCCTGGAGGAGTCCATTGTACGAGAATCTCATTTTCTTTTAGATAATCCTGAAACTCTTGGCTAAGATATTCTCTTCCTTGATCAGATCTAAGAGTGAGAATACTTTTCCTAGTTTGTTTCTCAACCACCGCTCTATATTCTTTAAACTTGTCGAAGGATTCAGATTTATATTTCATCAAATATACATAACCATAGCAAGAATGGTCATCTGTGAAGGTGATGAGGTAGGAGTATCCTCCTCTAGCACTAGTATTAATAGGACCACATACGTCTGAATGTACAAGTCCTAGTAACACCCCAGATCGTTCACCCTCCTTGGTGAAAGGTGACTTGGTCATGTTACCAAGGAGACAACACTCACATGTTCCATAAGATTCATAATTAAATGGATCGATATAACCTTGTTTGTGTAACTTGGTTAAGCGAGTCTCATTGATGTGTCCAAGCCTACAGTACTAGATGTAGGATAGTTTTGGATCATCTTTCTTTACTTTCTTGACCTTTACATTGAGTATAGGTTTCTTAGGTTCAAGAATATAAAGACCGTTCGAATGTGTCCCTGCATCATAATACATCTCTCCCTTCAGAAAAGAACAACAATTACCCTTAATGCAAAATTCAATATCATCATATAATGCCAAGTATGACACAAATATGATATTTTGAGATATGGAAGGAACATAGTAGAAGTCTCTTAATTCCAGGACCAACCCAGATGGTAAAGGTATGGTAACTATCCCCACAGTCGATGCAGCAACCTTTGCTCCATTTCCTACTCTTAGGACCACCTTTTCCTTCGTTAATCTTCTACTTGTTTCTAGCATTTTCATGCAATTGCATAAGTGTGACCCGCATTTAGTATCTAATACCCATGATGATGGATCAATAGTAGACTGATTTACTTCAATCATATACATGGTCAAAGGTGAAACTTCTACAAGTTTCCCATTCGTTGACCTTGTCAAGAAGGCTAGGATATGCTCCTTAATGACATCTATTCTTAATAGATATTTGAGAACGTTTCTCAACTTGATACACCAGTCTAAACATTTTGGCCAAATTTCATGATGACATCAAGTATGTCGTGCAAAGTAATATGTGTTCGCATTCTAGCAACCTAGACATTTAAAGAATGTTTATGATTAATCATGTACTATGATCAAATAAGATGAGATAGTAAATCTTAAATTGATTGCTCCCACTATTTTTTTCAAGATAATAACCCTCCATATCACCTCAAGAGATCTCTATAAGGATTCTCTTAGTGGGCTAGGATCTTCATCCATTCTAATCATGACCTTGAGTGTGCTCAACAAACTATGATAGGTGGATTAGGTAGGTAACTGAGCTTACCAATTGTATCTCTATACAACTCCTAGATCAGCCAGGTGACAACACATTGCCTAAACATATCATATATGTTTGGCGTAGCCATTGCCTCTAGTTTTCATAATAATCAAGTTTCCAAGCATCCCGATTTTATGAAACTAGTTGAGTAAGACCCACCACAAGCTCAAACATACTTGTGTAAAAGTGTGAACTTGAGTGTGCTCAACAAGTCTCTGATTAAAAGAGCAACTAGGTTATCTTACTATATAGTGGAAGGCAACTTAATCATGCGTGGCATGTGACTCAATATTTACTGAGGGATTTTCTTATTTTTGACTTAGTTAAGGTCTCATCTTTGCATTGACTATATTTATTAATTGCATAAGTAAATCTATCTCATGCATACTACTTTGGATGATTATGGACTTTATCTATACTAATTTCCTTGAGCCATCGAAGGAAATTAGCTTGGTCAAACCTAGGGGATAACATAAAACATATTGTAATCTTCCTCCTGTATCAACATGGCGCTTTTAGGTCTTCTTCTTCAAATTGTAAAATAACTCCTAAACTAATTCTAATTCTACACTTATATGTAACTAATTACATTTTAGTAAAGAAACCTCATGGTACATCCGAGGGGAGTTAGGTGAGGAAAGAATTTACAATCCTTGAAAATCAAGAGAAAGGCAGGGTGCGCAGACCCTATTTAATAAATAAATACCATGATAAAATTTAACCATACAACCACAATGATATTGGGTCTAGTCCATAATCATCCATATTCATCCATCCGTATGACCATAAAATTAAATCTATGTCTTGTTCAGGTTGTTAATCACATGATTTATTTGAAATTAGTTAAATTCAACTTTTGAATTAGCTTAATTTCAAATTTTTGGGTCTCCATTTATTTTCATATATAAAGAAA